ACCAAGTTCCAGATAGCTAATTTTGGAAATGAGAAATAGCTCATGATGTGATAAAGGCAATGAATGAAGCACTTCAGAGGATCAAAATGTAATGTTACCCATAACTTCCATCAATTAGGACAAAAGACAGCAAAACAAAGCTACACACTGGGACGGATGAAATACTGATCTAAGGGTACTGTGCCATTACTCAAAGTAATCTTGATTTCAGCTTCTTAAAAGTATTTTACCATGGCTCAGGAAGTCCTTAAAGCCATGGATTGATGGAGATTAAGAGAAAATACCAGGAAACTATGAACATAGACTTACTTTGATCTTGACATTTTTGCTAAATAGGGTATCTGAGCTGGTATGGCTCTTACATTTTCAAGTTAATGGCCAAATCCAAAAAGTTGCTAAAAGAAGGAACTAAAGCAGAATATAAATATCTAAATCCAGCATTGAAATCAAAAGGCTCTTCCAGCTCCAGTCCAATCTTAGAAGCACCTAACTCAGGAGGTACCTACCTTCAGTCTCCAAGAACTTCAAGTGTACAAGAGTCACCTTGCACCTGTGCCTGGAACCTTCCCCTCCTCTCTGGGTCTGCATCCTGCTGCATCCTGCCAGGGTTACAGATGGTTCAGCTCTGGTTGGACTTGGAACAAACCACAGGCTTGAGTTCATGAGCTCAGTTTGTGCTAAGGATGTGCAGCTGAGAAGGTGAAAAAAGAAAAGTAAACCTTCTGAGAGAAAAGAGAGCAAGTGCAGAGAGGTCTTTAGTTCAGCAGCTGGATTTGGTCTTTCATGGACAGGAATTGTGTCCTCCTGGCTGGAATGCACAATCAGCTTCTGGAGGAAGACTGAAACTCCAGCTCAGGTAGGTGCTTTCACCTCTGAACTAAAAATTATACTCACCTTTGATCTTCCCCTTATAGCCCAATGAATCTTTAATTCTTTTTATGCAAAGAAGAACAGGTTCAGCATAGGGGCATACAGTGCTCTCTTGTGCTCTCCCCATCTTCCCTGGATATCTTGCATCCTGAAAGACTTCTGTAGCTTTCCAGAACACAGGTTGGTATTTCTCAGGCAGCAAATCAAGCTGAACCCAGATCTCCTCCTTGTCACCCTGCTGACAACCTCCCTGAGAAATGAGATGGCCAGCTGGGGCTGCAGGAGTGTCCTGTGTTTGCCTCCAGAGGGACAGACTGCCCGTGTCCTGAAAGGTGGCTCAGCCCCAGTGACAGGCATGGTCTGAAAGCTCATCCCTGAGCTCCTTCAGCCATCAGGTTGTTTTCTTTCTGTCTCTTGGGAGAGGGAATTTTACAGCAGAATAGATCCTACAGAACAAGCTGGAGAAAACCCAACTCACAACACCCAGCATCTGGAAGTCTGAGACTACTCTCCTGGAAGATGGGAAAGAGTTTTAAAAACATGTTCCAAATCTGGTAAGTGGGGAGACACTGGAAGAAACATCCAATCTCCCAGGCTGGTGTCCTCGCCACTGCCTCGTAGGGATGTAAGTGCATACACTAGTTGTGGGATCCCAATCCAGCAGACACCTGGGATGACTGTGGAAAGTGGATCTGATGGAGCACAGCATCTCTTGAAGGTTACTAGCAACCTGAGGTGAGTGGGTGACTGCCCCTTGAAGCAGAAATTAAGGAATGGAAATTCTTGTGCTCATGGAATTTTGGAGCTTCAATGCAGTGTCTGTGTTCTTTGCTCGTCCAAATTTGGGAACTGTGTCTGAACTGCCAAGTGCTTCCCTGATCAGTCAGGCTCCCATGTCCTTACAAGATCTGAAAAAGAAGTTTCAAGTTAGATCCACACAAGCTTTCAGGGGCTTAACAATTGCTTTGGCCAACAGCAGCAATCACCAAAGCCCCTGCTCAGCCACTGCCTAATGCCGAGGTCTGTCAGCCTTTGTGTTTCACCAGGGATGCCCTGTGGGTGCTTTATCCCTCTGGGCTCACCCAGAGGCTCCTGAATCTTGCCAGCCCTCAGCAGCCAGCACGGGAGCACCAGCCTGAGTCACTTTTTGGAAGTGCCTGACTCTAAGAGGGGCCCTGGTACTTGTCACCCCAGCTGCAGACAGATACCTCCCTGCAGGGCTGGCAGCGCCTCAGACACTGCCTCAGGAGCTGATTTGGTAATTCCCTGCTCCTTGTACTGCTGTGGTGCATCCCATTGCACACGGAAAGCAGGCTCCCAGCAGTGCAGCAACAGCCTATACCAAATTGTAACCTAAGTGTTCCCAGATACATTTTTGTGCCCATATTCCAAATTACCAGTGTAGGCTCAGTAAATGGCACCAGCTGCCTCAAGGATCAAGTGCTGCGTCTTGGGGCACAGGATGCATTGCATCAGCCAGGCAACAACTCCAGTTCTCCGGGAATATAGATCCTACTGGAATTATACATTAAAGTCACATTGTGTTTACCTTCAAGCAATCTGACGAGGGATTAACTAAGTGATCAGTCTATCTCACCACATCACAGAGGAGTAATTAAATTATTCCCAAACAAAATTGCTAGAATTTGACACCTAATCTAACTTCTGATATCTCTGTAATCTTTTCTCCTTACTTGTTCAAATGTTCAACCCTCCTTTTTAAGATCAGTGCCGATTTTGTCCTGCAGAAAGTTGGAATATATTTCTTCTTCTTCATCTGTCCTTGTTGATCTATGGGAATAAAAGACCCCATCACATAAAATTATTCTGGCTTTGCAGAAGGGGCTGGTGAGCCTCTATTTGGAATATTTGACCAGTACCGGTCACCTCATTAGAGAAGTGACTTGCTACAAATTGGGACGTTGCAACAGAGCCCAAACGATGCAAGAACTTAATTATTCAGAAAAGGTTTAGAAAAGCTACGGCGTGGCTTGCTGCCTTTGGAAAACAGGAGATTAAAAACCCACTTTAGGGGGGTTTGCAGAGCTCCGGGGGAATAGCAAGGATTCACATACACGGGAAGAACAGAGCGAGTGACAAATACCAGAACAAAAGGGAAATTAACAGAAGCTTAAGTAGGGATGAGCAGCAAAGCAGTGTAATTTATTTGTGAATTTATTTGTATTTAGCACAGTTAATATATGGAAAATTATACTAAAGCTGAAACAGAAACAACTATTAGAAATCATTTTACAAGGCTTTAGACACGTGTGGGAGCTTAAAATAACTCTGTGGGGTGCAACTCATAATTCAGAGGAGAGGAAAAGGACTTACGTCTTCCTCACAATCTCGTCTCTTAAAACATTTAGCTCTGTTGTGCTAAGAAATAGACATAGTTACTTTAATCTGACTATCCATACAATTCTCAGGGAAAGATTTTCATTTATAAAATTAATTTTCCTTCCAGCTTCAAGTATATAAGTGTGGGTGAAAATAATCAGAGACAATTGAAAGGACAAGGCTGAACCCTGATCTCAGCAACAGCAGAGCAAAAATTCCAAGAAAAATTCTGGATGCACGCAGGGATGTAACTGAGATGAGATCTGGTCCTGAAGTGCTGCCCTCCAGACAGAAAAACCTTGATGTCCCCCCCTTAAATTTCAAGAAGAATTATCAAAAGAGTCCCAAGTCCTTTTGGGGCATTTCCTCAGTTCTTGGAAGAAGCCTGCATGTCCCTATTTGCATAGGATGCCTCCAGGCCATCCGCTCCAGCAGGCGTTGGATCAGACTGGGCGGCTCGCTCCCTCGACCTGCGGCTGTAAGAGCGAACGCACTGCCTTCAGCTCGGCGAGCCCGCTGGGAATCCACCCTTCCAAGGCACCGGGAGAGCGTGCGGCACGGGGATGTCGCCCTGAGGCGATGTGTGTAATCCCTGCATCGCCCTTTCCTTTCCTGCCAGGTCGGGTGCTGAGCCCTCAGCTCCGGGACACGTGGGTGAGATCCCAACTTTCCCTCCAGGGGAGATCTCGGCAGGCAGTTTGCGGTGCCAGAGCTCCCGCTGTGCTACCGGCGTTTACTCGGAAAATCACAGGCAACTAATCACAGTTTTCTCGGGGGAAAACCCACTTGATTTGGACCCGTCATTACGCAGGGAAACTACAGAACACCGTGCTGTAACCTAACCTGAACTCTGCTAAAGGCGTTTCTTCCTAGGGCTCCCTTTTCACTTGGCAAGCGCTGCCTGCCTTAAGAAAACCGGGACGGGTGTAGCGGACCCTGGTTACATTGGATGTGTTGAGGAGCAGGATGCACCCGCGATGCTGTCCCGCTCGTCTTTGGGCCGCCGAGGCAGGACGCGGGGAGCCTGAGGAAGCCGCGGGGAACGCTCTGAGGTGACCTGGGGGGCTGTCCCCGGCCCCCTCCCGCACAAAGCTGTGCGTGTCGGCGGCGGCGGCAGGGCGCTCACCCCGGCGGCACCGGGGCTCCGCCGTCCGGGCATCGCGCAGGGGCCGTCCCGCCGCGGACAGGGGGATGGAGGGACAAAGGGATGGAGAGATGCAGGGAGGAAGCACTCCAGGCGGCAGGTAACGGGACAAGGCGACGCGTCCCCGACCGTCCCGGTCTCAGCGGGGGCACTTTGGGCGGCACCCGCAGCGATTCGCCGGTGACGGCGGGGCGGGCTCGCTCTCCCCCGGCAGCCGGAGCGCCCGGGGCCGCGCGGGACGCCCCGCCGCCTCTCCCCTCCCCTCCCTCCGCCCGCCCCGCCCGGGGGCCGCGCCGCCACCGGCGCTCGGCGCGGCGAGAGAGCGGGCGGGCGGGCGGTGCCAGACGGGCGCCCCGCGGACCGCAACGACGGCGGCGCCCCGGAGCCCCCCGGGCGGCTCCGCCCCGGCCCCCCGCAGGTGGGTCCGCCCTGCCCGCGCCCCCCACGTCGGGGCGGGACCGAGGGCTGGAGCCGGGCGCCCGCTCGCCGAGGCGACGCCCCCCGCGCCCGCCCAGCCCCGCCGGGCTCTCGGGGCGCCGCGTCCCCTCGGAGCGGAGCGGAGCGGAGCGGAGCGGCTCTCGGCATGGCGGGGCTCCCGGCCGGCCGGCGGGCGGGCTGAGGCGGGGGCCGGGCGGGGAGGCGCCGGCGGCGGGGTCTCACCGCCTCTTCTTGCCGTCCCCCGCAGGGAGCGGCCGGCCCCCCGCGCCACCATTGCCTCGCACGGCAAGGAGGACCTGCTCGCCGCCGCCGCCCGGCTCTGGCAGCGGAGAAGGCGGCTGCTGGCCGCCGCCGGGCTCGCCCTGGCCATGGCCGTCGCGCTGCTGGTCGCCGTGCCCCTGCTGCTGCTGCAAGCGCCCGCCGACACCGGCGCCCACTACGAGATGATGGGCACCTGCCGCATGATCTGCGACCCGTACAGCGGCGGGCGGCCGCCCGGGCCTGGCAGCACCGCCGCCGTGGAGGCCCTGCAGGACCTGGGCGCCAACCCCCCGCCGCCCTTCGTGCAGGGACCCAAGGGGGAGCCGGGCCGGCCGGGCAAGCCGGGCCCCCGCGGGCCGCCCGGGGAGCCGGGCCCGCCTGGGCCGCGGGGCCCGCCGGGGGAGCGGGGTGACGCGGGGAAGCCGGGGCTGCCCGGGCTGGCGCTGGCGGGCGCGGGCGGCGGCGGGAGCGGCGGCGGGGCGGCGGCGGGCGGCGAGGCGGCGGGCGGGCTGAGCGCCGCCTTCAGCGGGCCGCGCATCGCCTTCTACGTGGGGCTCAAGAGCCCCCACGAGGGCTACGAGGTCCTCAAGTTCGACGACGTGGTGACCAACCTGGGCAACCACTACGACCCGGCCAGCGGCAAGTTCACCTGCCAGGTGCGCGGCATCTACTTCTTCACCTACCACATCCTCATGCGCGGCGGCGACGGCACCAGCATGTGGGCCGACCTCTGCAAGAACGGCCAGGTGGGTTCCGCGCGTCCTCCCCGCCCGGGGTTCCCCGGTTGTCCCCCTGCCACCGTCCCCGTCCCGCGGGCGCGACACCGGCCGTCGCCAATCCCGGGAACAGAGCCGGCGGCAGCATCCTGCGCGCCGTCGGGGCGGGGGTGCACCTCTAGAGCCGCGACGAATTCCGAACTCCCGGCTTGCAAACTTTTCTGCCGGGCTGGGGAGAAGGAGAAGGGAGGACAGAGGCGGGAGGGAGAACACAGGGTAGTGGAGGGGTTGGGAAAGAGGGACTCGGGGCATTGATGGTGCGGGCTGGGGGGCTGATGGAGGGGCTGGAAAAGAGGTACGTGGAGGACTGATGGGGAGGCTGCAGAATGACTCACAGGGGCAGGGGGGCTGATGTGCCCAGCGGCTGTGTTGGCAGGTGCGGGCCAGTGCCATCGCCCAGGACGCAGACCAGAACTACGACTATGCCAGCAACAGCGTGGTGCTGCACCTGGACTCCGGCGACGAGGTGTATGTCAAGCTGGATGGAGGCAAAGCACACGGAGGCAACAACAATAAGTACAGCACTTTCTCTGGCTTTCTTTTATACCCCGATTAACACACAAGTGACACGACACAACTGGCCCCGCCACTGGTGCACATGGGGCTGTTTGGCAATTCCATACCCCATCGTGCTGCTGTTCCTGCTGGTGTCCACTGTCTCCGCAGGTCATTTAGCTTCATTATCAGTTTGTATGTTTTTATTTTCACCCCTGTGGAAACGAAATAGAAATGAGACAAAGTGAACCCCTTCCTTACTCTCCCCCGTTTTTTCTGACCCCCACTCTCCCTTTGTCTGCCTGAGTGTTTCGTGTGTCACATGAGGAACTTGGCAGCTTGAAAATCTGAATGGTTCCAGGAGGGTTTGAAAGAGCCCAGAGTTTGGACTGTGTCACACACGGGATTTGAACAGGTCGCAGTTTTTCATCAATAAGTATTAATGACGATGATGAATTTTCAGATCGACTATTCACGAAGTGGGACTGGATCATAATTGTTTTTTCCTCTGCTGCTTTGTATGGGGTCAAGTGTAAAACTTTTCTTTCTGTGCAATGCAATGCTCGTGTGAATGATGGTGTCATTAACGTCAAACCTGTTTCTGTCTGCAAAAGAATTTGGTCACTGACCACAGCCACCCAAATACCATATTAAATTATGTTTTTAGACAATGCCTTCTTGCTTTTTGTCTCTTCCAGTGCTACAAAGCAGCACTGTGGTGGTGCCACAGGAGGGGGGGGAAGTAAAGGAGGGGGTCACTTCAGTCCCTTATGTTTATAGTCATATTTAAAGTTAGGATGGGGTTCCTTGCCTAGGTCTTGATATGGTGCAAGGGGGATGGGAAGAAGTAGAGAGAGAGGAAAAAAGCTTCACAGTTATGCAGTTTTGTGAAAAGAAGGCACACAGTTATCAGGAGGTGAAAGTGAGGGTGTGGAGTGAATCTTCTAAACAGATTTACTGGGTTAAAACCTGATCCAGAGGTTAGCAAAGTACAGGAAAAGGAGATTAATCAGTTATTATGGAAAGCCATGTTTCTGTAACATGATGACAAATGTTAAGGCAGCAGGGGACAGAGTGGCTAAACTCAAGAGTTTATCTAAACCCTTGCACTTGCAGTATGTGTATGGGTTGGAAACCACACCTGACTGGGCAGTGCCTGAGAAGGGCTGGGTGAGAAAATTCTCTCAGGACTGATGGATTCAGACCATTTAGAAGGGTTTTCTCCTAGTGGTCCTGTGTAAATCCCAGCCACCCTTGGTCTTTTTTCAAAATGCACAGGTGTGGTGCATTGGTATGCATCAGTAGTGCACGTGGTTCTGAGCCTTTGGTGGAGGAGGTGCATTTGTCATCATCATCCCAGTGGGTAACCTCCTCAGTGTGGGTAAATTGGGACTGCTCTGCTGAAGCTAGGAGAGGTAATTTACAAAAGCACTTACTTTCATTGTACTGTCTTGTCATTTCATTTTTCCCTCCTGAAAGTCTTACCTCCGTATCAGCTCTTTGCCCTTGCCAGTGTTAGTGCAGTTTCACAGACCAGAGAGACAGGGGCTGGTCTGCAACAGCTCTGCCCAGGCTGGAGCTTTGCCCCTGCCCTGATGTTGCTGGAGGAAAGGGAGCCACAGTCAGATGGACTTGTTCCAGCCCCACTTTGGGGCAGCCCCATGATGACCAAGTTCTCAGAGTCACTCCTGTCTCCGACCCAGTCCTCAGTGGGTTTTGTCTTCTCCTTGGCTGGAAGGGGAGGGTCAAAGGGAGAAGGCAATTCCTCCATCCTGTCCTCAAACATCCCCTGCTGGGGGAAGCAGAGTTCATAACCAGGTACATGTGTTAGACACTTATCAATCTCTTATGTCTTGTCGATTTGTACTATTTAGAATATGATTAAATCCAGTGTCTGAGACCATCCAAATGAAGTATAATTGCTATGGATCCTCAATTCCCACCGGATCCGTAATCCTTTTTGACTATTCCTCCTCCCTCCTTCAATGAAATGGGGCTTAGACACAAAGCCCTTGGTTTAAATTTCAAAAAATTAAAATTGACATGCAGCAGCATTAGCAGGAGCCAGGAGGAATTCTAAGGAGGTGCCTGGGCTCTGCTTTATCCTTTGCATTAAGAAGCAATTTGTACTTCTAACAAAGACCCAACTGTTCCCCCTTGGCAAAAGGGCAATGAAGATGCCTTGCAAGGGAATTGCTGTTCACAATACTTAAACAAATTTGAATCTTAGATTTTTAAATCTGTATTCCCTGGCGGAGCCTGCTCCTCTCAATTCAAATGCAGGGCTGGTGGTGTGTGCCTGCCAAGGTGTCAGTAGCTAAGCGGATGATGGATTGATGAGGCAATGGGAAGACACAGGCTCACAGTGGCAGTTTGCCCCGACAGTGATCTATGTATCTGCACATTATCAATGTCATGAGGAGGCTTGAACCACCCTCGCTAGATGTCTCATTTTCCACTTATCTCTTATGTACTAATTATCAGGCTGGATTATTCCCCAGGACAGAAACAAAAAAAAATTGCTCATCGCCCCTCCACTGACAGTTTACACAATCGATAGAATGAGCGTCTCCCTCAGCTGCTCACAGGCTTTTTTGTTTCCTCTCCTCATTGCAGGGTCTCCTGAGATTGCCTCTGTGGGGGGCTGATGGCTCTCACCCAGCATCTGCTTGGACAGGCTCCTCTGTCCCAGTCATCCTGGTGGGAGCTCAGTGTGTGGGTTGTGGGTTTTTTTTTATTTTTTCTGAAGCAGCACAGGGAAAAGCAATTGGGAGATGAAAAACTTCAGTTTTGCTCAGTGGTGCAGTTATCCAGAAAAGCCGAGGCAGCGCTGTGGATGGGGACGGAGGTCCCTGTGCTGCCAGTGGCTGTGGGTGACAGCAGGGTCACACACAAACAGCAAACAGCCTGAGGGGGCCTTGGAACCCTCTGGGCTTCCACTTGGGCTTCAAGTGAGTCTTCCTGCCCTTGGGAATGGTGTGTGGGCCCTGCATGTTTCATGTCACAAAGATAAGGGCTTGTTTGAGAGGGGGATCCCCTGGTCCCCTGGTTTGGGTGGGAAGAGGGGGATTAAAGGGTGCTCAAGGGGCTGGCTTCAGCTGTCCCTGGGACTGGCTTTCCCAAATGATACTGCATCTCACACATTAGCTAGTGTCTGCTCTGGAGGTCTGACCCCTCAGAGGTGTTTACTTATGAGTTAAGCAAATGTGCTTTTAAGAATTGGGATGTGATCGGGTGTGATGTGAATAGGGAAATGCTCCAGGAAGGAGTGGAATATTGGAGTTTAAGACAAAAGGTGCTCTCTGTTTCTGAGCCCAGCCATGTGCTTAAGTTAAAATCAATACAAAAATAATAATAAAAAAAAATAAAGACAGGTGTTCATACTGTCAAAGTAGCTTAGATACTACACAAGTAAATCCTTGAACTCTGTGACCAATGTGAAACCTTAACCCTTACCCTGTGCCTGGTCAGCACTGGCTATGGAAGAGATCCCTGGAGGAAAGATGAGCAGGGAGATGTTGAAGCACACAAACCTCATGAGAGGGGAAATGGGGATGCTGCTGAGAGCCCTAGGGGTTGCCAGCCCGCCATGTCTGTGGCTGTCACCTGGAGGAAGGTGTTCAGCTTACTCTGCTCTACCACAGGTGAGTGGATTTGTGGCTGGCCACTTGTTTTCTTCTTGACCTTCACCGGTTTGGGAAACTCCTGCAAGTCTCTAGGGAGGTGGGTGAGGAAATCCTGCTCTGTCTAGGGTGAAGAAGGTGAGCTGCTGGTGCTGAGTTTTCTCCAGCCGGGGTACAGAGTTGAGGAATCCATGCTGTGAGAGCAGCTGGTGTCGGGTGTCCTGTGCCAAGTCTGGTGCCTCTGTGCTTTCCAGGATCTCAGCTTGCACATTTCCTCCTTGATGCTCATTCCCTTGTGGGGCAGGGCCTGGGTCTGTGGGGCTCCCTGTCCTGCAGCAGCAACAACAGTCCCATGTTGGGTTCTCCTTTTTCCCTTTTGCTCTAAGAAAAACAAAGTGTTGTGTTTTGTGCCTCCTGTCTCTACACACGTGTGTTGAGCCATGCATTGGTCTTTGTCTTGCTGCTTTTGAAACTCACTCTGGGCATTTTTTCTTGGTGATTTAAAGCTTGTTTATCTCTTTGCTTGCCTTCCTCAGTGGCTCACAGTCCTGGACAGGTTTAATTTGTGAACTCAAAAAGTATGGAGGATGGGTTTTGGTGGATACTTATGGTCTTTTTCTGTTTATGCAACAGGCTAATTATATATTGTCTATGACAATCGAGGCAAAATAGCATATAAATATATTTTAAATCTGTGCTAAATACTTTGTTTTTGTAACATGCTATTTTTTTCCCTTTTTTGATTGGAATGAACTGTGGGAAAAAAATCCTGGTAAAGTCATGTGTTTTAGTATTGTGTCTGGGATAAAGAAGCCTGTCAGAATAAAATAAAGACTAACTGAATCTTCACTGACTTTGAGACTGCAAGAAGTTTGGTCCTTTTTACTGTGAAAGCCTACCTGATGCAGAGACCTGGAAGATTAATTACAGACAAGAGAGGTAAATTGTTGCTGTGTGCAGACCCTGTCAGTTTTGGGTGAGAGCCTGCTCTCAGCTGGTTTCACATTTAATGGCAGAAAGAGGTTCAGCTTGTCCATAACTGCAGGTAACATGCACATGGGACCCATTTCTCTAGACCAGGCCTGTGCCATTTCAGGAATGAATCCCTTGGTCACAGAGCAGGTGCCCCAGCAGCAGTGCAGGAGATAGTTCACTATTTCTTGAGCCCACTTGCTCTTGAATGAGCTTCAATTTTGAAGGTCGTGGGGGCATTGCAGCAGGGGCATTAAAGAATAAAGGGGCTGAGCTGCTGGTTCCTCTCTGTTTAGGGCCAGTTTGTTAATTGCCTCAATGGTGAGTTACAAAGAGGCCAGCAAAGGGCAAGGCTTGTTCCCTGGATCAGCCAGGGGCACAGGGGCATTCCCTCCTGGGTGACAGGCTGAGGCTGAGGTAGGATTTGGTATTCTAGGCTTGGATATACATTGGAATTCCCCTTCTTTCCCCCTGCATTTCAGGCTGAACCTTGAGAGCTGGTGGTTTCAGGTGAAAATGTGAAGGGTGCCAAGCCACTGTGTCCTGGCCCCTGGCACAGAGTGCTCAGCAGGAGCTCCCAAGGTTTTGCAGAGCAGAATTCAGAGGGAGCTATGAGTGTTGATCCTGTTTCCTTGCAGAAAAAGCCCCAAATGCCCACAAATTGGGTCCTTCCAATTATAAAATAGCCTGAATTAACCATTCAGTTGTGTGGCACAGCTCTCTCAATATCCTGATAAATGGGAGTAGGTTTTCTTTGCAGGGGCTTACGACATATCCCTCTCTGTGCATTTGCTCCCATTTTGGTTTTTTTTGGCACAAACTAGGGTAGAAACAGAAAAGGGCTGCTTGATCTGTATGATCTGCTGCCCTATTAATGCAGAATTATTTCCTCCAGTGCTCTGTGAGCACGGTGACACAGAGAGCATGGCTTGCCTGCAGCCTTTGACTGTGCTCCTCCCAGCGAGGGCACATTCACATGATCCTGGCTCTCCGTTTTGCTTGCAGCTGCCAGATCATGTCTAGAAAAACAAACAAAAAAAAAGTATCCAGCCCCAGTCTTGAATGCAGACAAAATGTTT